ATCATTCTCATAAAATAATTATTGCTGAGACACTAGAAAGAAAAATATAAAAAATATGTATAAATAAAAATAACTACCCTATGTATAATTAATAATGAAATCATAGCTAAACAGAAATAATGAAGATTTTAAGATATTCTTTTTATCGTAAGTGTATTATTTTACAATCTGCTATACAAATGGGTTGGGTTTGATATTCAACTAATTATCTAATTATGAATATTCCCTCCTTTAATTTGATGAAATTATTTGTCTATTTTAATAATTTTTTAAAATGAGCCTTTCATTTTTGTTTTCAAAAGCATTTTCTGATACATGCTTTCTAATATACGAAGAAAAATCGATTTATCCTCGGCCGGAAAAAGAAATATATACAGTAATATGATGTTTGGGACTTTTTTTCCATTTATAAATCTACAATTGAATAATATACATGAAAAATTTACGATTTAATCTTTGACTGCAAAGTTAAAGAAAATTTTATTTGTTCCCTTCCTCAAGAATAATAAGAAAAAACAGGAAAAATATAAAAAAAAAAACGTAAACCGAAAAATATAAAAAAAATTTGGACCATTTCTCGATTTGTGCGTGTCATCCTTGCGCAGGGGCCATGCTAATCTTCTCTGTATCGTTCCAATTTTATCGGATGTCCCCGAAGGGACAATGTCATCTGTTTTGAAATAGCTTATAAACCCTGTTATCATTGCGTGTCTAGTCAGTGTGGAACATAATGGGATCAAAATAAAACACCTAGTTGCTACTTAACAAAATATAAGTAGTAGTATCTCACCGAGGAAATTTTCTCTGAATCTGTGCAAGGAAGGAGAAAAGATCCACAGGAACCAAGCAAGAAGTAAGTTACATTTCTCTGTCTCAGTATAATTTTGAAAAAAAGAATATCTAGCCACTATCATCATCTATCTATAGGTAGTCCTATTCATAACTCTGCTCTGCAGATTCTGCACCTTACTTTTGATGCGACATTTTGACATATCTCTTCTTCAGTATTAATATAACTTGATAGTATATATTATTAATTTGAAATAATAAAATACTTTTTTCATTTAAATATAATTATTATTTCCTTTCTCTTCTGTTGCGATTGCTTTTAAAGATTTTTTGTTGGTGAGGAGGAATGATTACTCACCGATTTTTGTGTTTTTATTGAAGGATTTGTGTAGATACGTGGAGTTGGAATGAGAAAGAAAGAGCATCTTTTATCCTCGCATAGGTAAAGGATTTGTATAAATGTAGTGTTTCGTTTATAAAATTGACCTTTTTTTTTTCATTCCTGACATGCTCACCATCGTCCAGTGTTATGGGGTTTCTGATTGGAGATGTGACTGTCATGTGTCAGAGGAGTCCACATCGCGAGATCAAGAGTCAATCGTCACCTCCGTTTTGAGTTCCCTTGGCAACACCGTTGGTACTATTAACTTGGTTGAGAATCGATTCCGAAATCGATGTGCAGACGAACAACAAGCAACAGCTTCTCTAGGAAGATCGCGTTGATGAGAGTTTCGTGATCCAGTAAGCCTAAGCACGGAGAAGAAGAGGAAGAGACCGAACAAAAGGTTCGATTTTCTACAGAGGAAGCTGCCGATTATGGTGAAACGAGTAGATGGGAATCGATTCTGGATTGAAAGAAAACCGATTCCTTTGTGTTGAAGATGAAGCTGATTGGTGAAACAAGTAAATGAGAATTGGTTTTTGGAAGGAAACCGATTATCTTGAAAATGAAACATCATATATATAATAAATAATTATAATAATAATTCATAATAAAAATTCATAATAAAAAATATACTAATAATAATATATTAAACAATAATAATAATAATAAATACTAATAATAATAAATAATAACAATAATAAATAATAATATTAATAAATAATTAGTATTATAATAATGATAATAATAAATAATAATAATAATAAATAATATTATTATTATTAAATAATGATAATATATTAATTTTAATTATAAAGATAAATAATAATCTTACACTTTTAATCTATTAAATTATTTTATTTATAATATATAAGTTAAATTACTCACAAATATTCGTAAATTTTCCTCTTAAATTTATTTATTTTACTTTCAAATATTTTAAAAAATATAATTAAAATTCATTCACTCAAATTTATCTTAATTTACCCAAAGTTAACACATTCTTAGTAAACATTTTGAATATGTTTGTATCACTTGTATAATGTGTAAATGGATAAATTTTGTATTTAAAAAAGGATAATGATATTTTAACAATAATTTTTTAACATTTTAACATTATATGTCATTCTATTATTGGTCTAAAATTATTTCATAATCAATAATAATAATCATAAACAACAACATGAAACAATTACAGATGACACATATAGATTAAAATGTCGTCAAAAAAATATTATCAAATTATTATTATCTTTAAAAAAATTTGAGATAAGGAAGATTTACTGTGCAATGTAAAATAAAGATTCTGGCCCCACGAAATGTAACGAGAAGTCTAAAACTTCATTATTTTCTTGCAAATAATCGATTCTAGCCTCACGAAATTATTATTTTGTTTTTCTTTATTCCATTTCTTATACATTTTTTTATTCTGTTAGTTTTCTTTATCCTATTTCATTAAATTTTAAGCCAATAATAATAAAATTTATATCATATTTATCTCTAAAAATAAAATAATAATTATTTAATTTTATCCATTAAAATATTTTTTAATATAATCGTATCTGTACTTATTATATAATAAACGAACTTTAATTTTAAATTCATTTAAAATAAAAAAAATTAATTCAAACAATACAACTGTTCATTATTCACAAATCTCATCTTTATTTTCTCAATAAATAAAATATATTTAATTAAGTGTGATAGATGTCGAACGAACAAATCAACACAAAAATTTAAAAAATTTGGAGCATTAATGCTGAAAGTGGTATTTGACATGAGTAGTGTAGGGTGTGCAGTGTGTAGAGCAGAGTCATCATGGCTACGAATTGAAATACTTTGATCTTCTTTCATCGATCATTTCTGGACTCAACTCACTGCGTTTGCATTCAGAGAGATCTTCTACTTTGCTTCCAATGGATCCTCAACATTGCTTCAAGATTCTTTTTCTTCAGACTGCGCCTTCTGTTTCTTCTTCATTTCTTTAAAGGTAAGTGGTCTCATTCCATTTAAGTCCCACATCGTTTAAAAATATTAAAGTTTCAATGTTTATAAATGAAATTCCGCCCATAGGGTTTGTCCCTTCGGGGACATCCGATAAAATTGGAACGATACAGAGAAGATTAGCATGGCCCCTGCGCAAGGATGACACGCACAAATCGAGAAATGGTCCAAATTTTTTTTATATTTTTTTTACTGCGAAGCTCAGCATATTGCATAGTTCAATACAAGCATACAATTTTTTATGAGGTTTTTGTAAACTCAGGAAGTTTCCCTTTATTTGTTTTCTTTTCTTTTCATAGCAAGAGTATGATTTCACTCCCCAAATGTTTTTCAGAATCCATATCATTATGTAATTGTGTTTGTGTATCTTTTGCTACATAATATATTACATCTCATAGGTGGTTTGGATAGCCGCATATACATATGTGTGAAGAGTCTTAGACTTTATATGCAGTTCTAATGTTTTATCTACACCAAAGCTAAGGTAGAAACAGACAAACTTACTGATAAAAAATTAGGTTGTATTCCTTACAATCTATCTATAGTTACCTTTTTCAAATTTTATATCCCTTGCTTCAGTGGTTTCACCCTCAGTAGATTTTTTTTTTTATGGTGGAACAAGAAGATTACACAAGTGCATGCAGTCGGCTATACTGCAATGAAATATTCATTGCATCATCACAGTGACAAAAGAAGTTTAAGGTTGTTCTTATTTTAAATTGAAAATGCTGCACTTTGTAGCCATACCAAATCCCATTTTCTCATTTTGTTGTTAAAAAAGGTCTCAGTTTGTCTGTTAAGAGTAAGGTTCTCTTCTTTTGCATGGAATTACTAATTAATGAGAATAATAAGCGATGATTTGAAAAACGATTTCTGTTCTTTTCAAATACTAAGAGGCTATTGAAAGAATGTAATTGGGAGATTCATGTTATAACAAGTGCTTTTAACATGAATATTGTTTTTGGACATAGTAGGAATAACATTCATGTAAGTTAGCAGAAAACTAGATTTGTCAAAATCGATTCCACTGTTTGAAAAAAAATGAAGAGAAACTTGTGTTGTGGTGGTTGGAATTGATTTTAAGACTGTGAGAATCAGTTTGATATCTTTTTTATTTCAATTAATATTTTTAAAAAAATATTATTTATTAAAATAATTTATTTTATTACATTAGCCAAATCTTTTATAAATTTTATTTTCAAATTCACTCAANGGGCAAAAATAAATAAAAGCCACAAAATGGAAAGAGAAAAGATATCACTGCTGGACGTGATATTCCAGTTGGCCAACGTTTTCGCAAAAATTTTGGTTTGTCAGTGCCTCTTTCATTAAGTTCGAAAAGCTACTATTTTTTTTAGATTATTTACACAGAAAAATTATAAACACAGAGACACACATACAAGCTAAAAAATATTTTTTTCACGCATTTTATTTTCTATATATCTCTTAATTCATTGATTAACTTAAAATTATTTTATTTATTTATTCTCTTTTTAAGTAAATATTAAAATTTAATCTCTTATTCAATAACAAAAGTTATTACAGCATATTTTTCACTGATCACACACTTGGGGAGTTCTATATTTTTTAGAGAAGTGAAATTATTAGATATACAGGGTATGGATCTCATGTTAGTGATATGGTGGCATATATTTTTTTATAGTGATGAGTTGTATCATTTGTAAAGTATCTTATTACACTTTTTTAATATTATTCTTTTTCTTTCCATTTCTCTCAATTACATCGCTTGTTTTTAATTTTGTGTATAATCTGGCCGTGCAAAGGTAATACTCCTGATAATTGACCAGACTATCACGGCCTGAAATTAGCCTTGTTAATTATCATCCGATTACACTACTCATCAAAATTTAATAGGTACGAAGACATTAACTTGGTGTGAAGTGGAGTAGAAGATTACATTATAGGAGATACATGGAGATTTATAAAGTAAAAAGGAGAAACTAGAGGATGCTAACTGAGAATAACAGAAGCAGTACATCTTCTTATCAGCGTTCCATGTAAATTCCCAACATGACATGCGAGGCGCCATGTGATGTAAGGAGCTATAATTTCACGTTCACATGGCAACTTTGTTACCAAGAAAAAAGGGCCTTATGAGGGATTTCCACCTTTGACGGGTAGAAACTGTGGCTTCTTCTGTAGGAAGAGGCAAACGGCAGTGCAGTCATCTAACTTAGAAGAAGGATACTTGCTTTTCCATGCTAAAGCTGCTGCTTCCACAACAGCCCTTGCTGCTTCATTTTCAGTGTCTGCTTCCCACACAATTGAGGAAACCTCCTCGTTGCTTAGCACATCCCACACCTAAATCAGAAAAACAAAAAGTCAATAAAGGAAAATCCAAAATAAGCAAATTAACATGCAAAATAAAACACTAACCCCATCACTTGCAAGAACAATAAATTGGTCGCTGGATGTTAGAGTGCGATGCGAAATGTCAGGGATGGCAATGATGCCGTGGTCTTTGAGCATGAAATCTCCAAAAGCCCTAGACATGGCCAGACCTGGAGAGTTCTCATCTGGTAACCACACTCGCTGGATGTGTGGTTCTTCCTTCAGGGCAAATACACGGCCATTGCAACTTTTTATTCGTGCTGCTTCGCCTGCATTTCAATATACAATCACAAATTCCATGTCACGTTATTTACTTTTTATTTTATTTTGCGCTCACATTAATTTACTTAGCTTCAACAAGGACGATGACATTAGCCTTACATGGTAATCCAGGTTTCATATCCGTGGTCAATTGAATGGCCATGATTTCACCGTCAGAGATTGTCCCCAAGATTGCTCTCGAGTCACCAAGGTTTGCTATGACAAGATCTTCACCCTGCCAATTTATCCTTTTGCATTGTTATTACTTACTACATATTTTCTATTGTAAGTAGCAAAAACTGATACACATATGTATGATCAAAGATTCGGTCAATGATAATTTCACTTTCACGGTTGGTTGGTTAGTTGGTTTACCTGTCTTATGACAACTACAGCCGTAGTTCCACTGCAAGAGCAGTCCAGATTCTCTTGTAGCTTCACCTCCTTGTCCATCACCCTGAAACCATCAACAATGGCTTCTTTCCATTCTTGAAAATTCTTGTTTAGTAGAGCTTGTGAGTCGTCTTCAACTGTCTCCGCATGCCTTACCATGATCTTCTTTTCAATCTTTGCATGCACTTTTTTTTGGTCCACTATGAATGAACACAAACGGCTGTTCACTATTTTGCTCACTATGTGACCATTCCTTCCATGCCCATCAAAAACTCCACAGAATGCTGCGTTTGTCGTCCCATAAACCTAATAAAGGAAGCAGAGGAAGAGAAGTTACGATAAATTTCATGTGTTTCCCAGTGCCTATGTATATGGATATACCATGCAGCTTGTTTAAAGGACCAAGTGTTCAATCTTAAACTTTGTGAATATTAGTATCTTAGATAGAATCTTAAGAGATTATTCTACTATGATTCAGAAGAAAAAAAAAAAGATAGCTTCTTTATAACAAACATGTACCTGACAAAGTGTTGCAGCATCTTGGTTGAGCCCTTTGGTACCTTGTTTAGAGTAAGCAGAGGAAAGTCCCCTTAGAAGCTTGGTTGCTTCAAACACTAACACATTTTCATCACGAGCTTCTTCGGGCGCTCCATGAATCGCTGAAGATTCAGAGGATATGCAGATACCCATGGAGACTTTTTCTTCTGTTATTTTATTCTATTCAAAATAAGAAACAAGTCTAACACTCATGAATTACAGGACCCAATATATAGCAATCATTTACAATTTAATAAGTGAAGTTGCTTATGTGGTTCCTTGTGGGAAAGCTTAAGCTAATGTAAACTCAATAATGGACGGTTTTTTAATGGTTATTTATTCAACTGGCATGTCCCAACGTTGGCTTTAAGGGACAGAGTACAAATGCTTCTGACTTTCTATAATTGAAATTAATATATCTAACAACACTATCAGAGATTCTAACACTTCTGCAAAACTATTATCTCCTTTAACTACTATGCTACATTAACATTTTCTGCTTATGTTTGAGTTATGGACTTTTGTGAAATAAGGATCAAGTTTCCTGTATTCCTGCAATCAACTTGTTCTTACAATTGTGCATGGATGCATCTTGTTTCTTAATCATTCATTAATTTAACTTTTAATATAATAAATTAAAACACATGTTCAACTAATATTTTTATTTTATTTTGTAAGCATGGGTTGAAGAAAGAAAGGAAGGATCCAATAATTAAAAAAATCTTATTTGAACGGAAGAACAGTTTAATATATTGAATTGGTATTTGACTTGCATAATGTACTAATAATGAAAACAAAGATTCAGAATAATTTATTACGTGTGTAAGACGGGTATTTTAAATTAAATAAAGATAATGTTACTTATTTTCATTGTTAATGACTAGTATATAATAAAGATGATATTATATATTTTTACTATTAATAAGCAGTGTAAACAAAATCGTAATTTCGTGTGTTCATATTTTTTTGATGTAATAAAAAAATTAATCATTCTCATAAAATAATTATTGCTGAGACACTAGAAAGAAAAATATAAAAAATATGTATAAATAAAAATAACTACCCTATGTATAATTAATAATGAAATCATAGCTAAACAGAAATAATGAAGATTTTAAGATATTCTTTTTATCGTAAGTGTATTATTTTACAATCTGCTATACAAATGGGTTGGGTTTGATATTCAACTAATTATCTAATTATGAATATTCCCTCCTTTAATTTGATGAAATTATTTGTCTATTTTAATAATTTTTTAAAATGAGCCTTTCATTTTTGTTTTCAAAAGCATTTTCTGATACATGCTTTCTAAACTAATATACGAAGAAAAATCGATTTATCCTCGGCCGGAAAAAGAAATATATACAGTAATATGATGTTTGGGACTTTTTTTCCATTTATAAATCTACAATTGAATAATATACATGAAAAATTTACGATTTAATCTTTGACTGCAAAGTTAAAGAAAATTTTATTTGTTCCCTTCCTCAAGAATAATAAGAAAAAACAGGAAAAATATAAAAAAAAAAACGTAAACCGAAAAATATAAAAAAAATTTGGACCATTTCTCGATTTGTGCGTGTCATCCTTGCGCAGGGGCCATGCTAATCTTCTCTGTATCGTTCCAATTTTATCGGATGTCCCCGAAGGGACAATGTCATCTGTTTTGAAATTGCTTATAAACCCTGTTATCATTGCGTGTCTAGTCAGTGTGGGACATAATGGGATCAAAATAAAACACCTAGTTGCTACTTAACAAAATATAAGTAGTAGTATCTCACCGAGGAAATTTTCTCTGAATCTGTGCAAGGAAGGAGAAAAGATCCACAGGAACCAAGCAAGAAGTAAGTTACATTTCTCTGTCTCAGTATAATTTTGAAAAAAAGAATATCTAGCCACTATCATCATCTATCTATAGGTAGTCCTATTCATAACTCTGCTCTGCAGATTCTGCACCTTACTTTTGATGCGACATTTTGACATATCTCTTCTTCAGTATTAATATAACTTGATAGTATATATTATTAATTTGAAATAATAAAATACTTTTTTCATTTAAATATAATTATTATTTCCTTTCTCTTCTGTTGCGATTGCTTTTAAAGATTTTTTGTTGGTGAGGAGGAATGATTACTCACCGATTTTTGTGTTTTTATTGAAGGATTTGTGTAGATACGTGGAGTTGGAATGAGAAAGAAAGAGCATCTTTTATCCTCGCATAGGTAAAGGATTTGTATAAATGTAGTGTTTCGTTTATAAAATTGACCTTTTTTTTTTCATTCCTGACATGCTCACCATCGTCCAGTGTTATGGGGTTTCTGATTGGAGATGTGACTGTCATGTGTCAGAGGAGTCCACATCGCGAGATCAAGAGTCAATCGTCACCTCCGTTTTGAGTTCCCTTGGCAACACCGTTGGTACTATTAACTTGGTTGAGAATCGATTCCGAAATCGATGTGCAGACGAACAACAAGCAACAGCTTCTCTAGGAAGATCGCGTTGATGAGAGTTTCGTGATCCAGTAAGCCTAAGCACGGAGAAGAAGAGGAAGAGACCGAACAAAAGGTTCGATTTTCTACAGAGGAAGCTGCCGATTATGGTGAAACGAGTAGATGGGAATCGATTCTGGATTGAAAGAAAACCGATTCCTTTGTGTTGAAGATGAAGCTGATTGGTGAAACAAGTAAATGAGAATTGGTTTTTGGAAGGAAACCGATTATCTTGAAAATGAAACATCATATATATAATAAATAATTATAATAATAATTCATAATAAAAATTCATAATAAAAAATATACTAATAATAATATATTAAACAATAATAATAATAATAAATACTAATAATAATAAATAATAACAATAATAAATAATAATATTAATAAATAATTAGTATTATAATAATGATAATAATAAATAATAATAATAATAAATAATATTATTATTATTAAATAATGATAATATATTAATTTTAATTATAAAGATAAATAATAATCTTACACTTTTAATCTATTAAATTATTTTATTTATAATATATAAGTTAAATTACTCACAAATATTCGTAAATTTTCCTCTTAAATTTATTTATTTTACTTTCAAATATTTTAAAAAATATAATTAAAATTCATTCACTCAAATTTATCTTAATTTACCCAAAGTTAACACATTCTTAGTAAACATTTTGAATATGTTTGTATCACTTGTATAATGTGTAAATGGATAAATTTTGTATTTAAAAAAGGATAATGATATTTTAACAATAATTTTTTAACATTTTAACATTATATGTCATTCTATTATTGGTCTAAAATTATTTCATAATCAATAATAATAATCATAAACAACAACATGAACCAATTACAGATGACACATATAGATTAAAATGTCGTCAAAAAAATATTATCAAATTATTATTATCTTTAAAAAAATTTGAGATAAGGAAGATTTACTGTGCAATGTAAAATAAAGATTCTGGCCCCACGAAATGTAACGAGAAGTCTAAAACTTCATTATTTTCTTGCAAATAATCGATTCTAGCCTCACGAAATTATTATTTTGTTTTTCTTTATTCCATTTCTTATACATTTTTTTATTCTGTTAGTTTTCTTTATCCTATTTCATTAAATTTTAAGCCAATAATAATAAAATTTATATCATATTTATCTCTAAAAATAAAATAATAATTATTTAATTTTATCCATTAAAATATTTTTTAATATAATCGTATCTGTACTTATTATATAATAAACGAACTTTAATTTTAAATTCATTTAAAATAAAAAAAATTAATTCAAACAATACAACTGTTCATTCTTCACCAATCTCATCTTTATTTTCTCAATAAATAAAATATATTTAATTAAGTGTGATAGATGTCGAACGAACAAGTCAACACAAAAATTTAAAAAATTTGGAGCATTAATGCTGAAAGTGGTATTTGACATGAGTAGTGTAGGGTGTGCAGTGTGTAGAGCAGAGTCATCATGGCTACGAATTGAAATACTTTGATCTTCTTTCATCGATCATTTCTGGACTCAACTCACTGCGTTTGCATTCAGAGAGATCTTCTACTTTGCTTCCAATGGATCCTCAACATTGCTTCAAGATTCTTTTTCTTCAGACTGCGCCTTCTGTTTCTTCTTCATTTCTTTAAAGGTAAGTGGTCTCATTCCATTTAAGTCCCACATCGTTTAAAAATATTAAAGTTTCAATGTTTATAAATGAAATTCCGCCCATAGGGTTTGTCCCTTCGGGGACATCCGATAAAATTGGAACGATACAGAGAAGATTAGCATGGCCCCTGCGCAAGGATGACACGCACAAATCGAGAAATGGTCCAAATTTTTTTTATATTTTTTTTACTGCGAAGCTCAGCATATTGCATAGTTCAATACAAGCATACAATTTTTTATGAGGTTTTTGTAAACTCAGGAAGTTTCCCTTTATTTGTTTTCTTTTCTTTTCATAGCAAGAGTATGATTTCACTCCCCAAATGTTTTTCAGAATCCATATCATTATGTAATTGTGTTTGTGTATCTTTTGCTACATAATATATTACATCTCATAGGTGGTTTGGATAGCCGCATATACATATGTGTGAAGAGTCTTAGACTTTATATGCAGTTCTAATGTTTTATCTACACCAAAGCTAAGGTAGAAACAGACAAACTTACTGATAAAAAATTAGGTTGTATTCCTTACAATCTATCTATAGTTACCTTTTTCAAATTTTATATCCCTTGCTTCAGTGGTTTCACCCTCAGTAGATTTTTTTTTTTATGGTGGAACAAGAAGATTACACAAGTGCATGCAGTCGGCTATACTGCAATGAAATATTCATTGCATCATCACAGTGACAAAAGAAGTTTAAGGTTGTTCTTATTTTAAATTGAAAATGCTGCACTTTGTAGCCATACCAAATCCCATTTTCTCATTTTGTTGTTAAAAAAGGTCTCAGTTTGTCTGTTAAGAGTAAGGTTCTCTTCTTTTGCATGGAATTACTAATTAATGAGAATAATAAGCGATGATTTGAAAAACGATTTCTGTTCTTTTCAAATACTAAGAGGCTATTGAAAGAATGTAATTGGGAGATTCATGTTATAACAAGTGCTTTTAACATGAATATTGTTTTTGGACATAGTAGGAATAACATTCATGTAAGTTAGCAGAAAACTAGATTTGTCAAAATCGATTCCACTGTTTGAAAAAAAATGAAGAGAAACTTGTGTTGTGGTGGTTAGAATTGATTTTAAGACTGTGAGAATCAGTTTGATATCTTTTTTATTTCAATTAATATTTTTAAAAAAATATTATTTATTAAAATAATTTATTTTATTACATTAGCCAAATCTTTTATAAATTTTATTTTCAAATTCACTCAACTGTAACTTCTGAATATTTAAAAATAAAAACACTACAAATTTCACTTTCTAATTCATCTATTCCACCTCTCTCAAATGATTCCTTTCTAAAAAAAACAACCTAAATTATATACGTATGCTGTAGCTCTCTTCAATTGTGGGTTAAAATGGGTGAAGTGATAAATGGGTGAAGTGATAAATGGATGAATTGCAAAAAGTGAGAGAAATGTTCAGTGTTTTTTATCTAATTTTTTTGATTAATTTTCGTAAAATGGCTAATAAATAATGTACTCAAAAAAATAATTTCGTGTGCTAGTTTTAGTTAGACAAAGCATTTAGCTGATAGATTTTCAGAGCAGTAATTAATTATCAATCCTGTCTAATACAATTTTGTAAATAAAATATTTAATGACACATTAGAATCACAAAATACGGAAGACTTAAGCGTGATTACCATGAACTTACAAATGCAGAGGGTTATTTCATTTTTAAGTTTATTTTTGTCCATCCAATTTTATTCTATATAAAAAATTTAAAAACTTGAGTACTTTTGATACAACGTGTTAAAAAAACGAATATATGTTTAATAATAAAGTATATTAAACTTCATTATTAAATCTTATTATTAAAATTCTATGTGAATAATGATTAGTATTGTTGCCGGCAGATAATTTTTTCTTTAGATTCACGGAGTCACGAGTTTTATAAATCTTGCAATCTTTTATTTATGTTCTGTTTAGGGTTTGCCAGCCTCAAGAGTGCCAAAAAAAAGATGTGAAAGGTTGGGTATAAATGTGGTTGTCATAATAAATAAAAAATACTTACATATTTAAAAAACAATATTTGATTTGGTAGCCACTTTCAAACTATTATCAATTAAATTAAGGGTATTAATCAATTTCAAGAATTTTAAAAAACAATCGTAAGTATCTGAAGAATGAATTAGGTATTTATGGATCAACAAGAAATAAAGGAATTTTACTAAAGACGGAGGAAGATGTATGTGTACTACACAGTATAGGTTAAAGAATTAACCCGTTGCCATTTATTAGAAAAAATTAGTAGAATGGATAAATTTAAAATTACCTAAATAATCAACAAGATGCTCCAATTTCATTATAGATTTTCATTAAAAAAAGTCGTATTTTATTACGTAATTTTAAGCTTAACATTTTACAAAGTAGTATGTAATCATATGAATCTCTACTACTTTTTCAAATAATTAAAATCACATCTATTTTTTATTTTTTAAATCATGTAGTAGTTAGACGTACAACAATTGAAATCGTATTTGTGTAATTTTTTTATTTTTTATCTTTTCAAATTGATAATGGTTTTTTATCACTTAATTCAATTTTTTTAATAATAAACGCATAGTAATTTTATGTTGTTGTGATTTTATAAATACTACTACCGTTTAGACATTCGGTGTTGCCAAATGAAATAGAAAACACTTGTCTACATATTACCATGCCTAAACTATAGTACACTTGTGATACATTTGAGAACAAGAAAGTGGGTTGTGGGAATTGAATCCAAAATCAGAAATTGTTCATGCTAGTAACAATCACAGAAACAAAAAGACTCCAACTTTGTTATGTGATCATATTCCATTGCCCTTGAGAGGTTGACTGCGTGCAAGGCAATCCACTTTCCGATTCCTGAAATTGAAATGAAAAAGAAAATTACATTTCCCATGGAGAATAATCTTTTGAATGTCAGCATAGCACCTGTGAACTGAGCAATTGACAATGCATACAGATTTTCAACCGTAAGAATAACCTTTGAAAAGTGAACAGGATAAGTTAAACTAAACTAAACAAGACAAAAGGATCTAAACCTGATACATGGAACAAACTCCTGAACAAGACAAAAGGATCTAAACCTGATACATGGAACAAACTCCTGAAACCCTCCTCTCCCGTATCAGGTTATAAATTATTGAACATAACTTATACATCATTAACATCACATCAACATTCACATGAAAAAAACAACTGAAAAGAGATTACGGAAGTAAGTATGCAATTACATTGTGTTATTGGGTGGCTATCGGAGCGGTATCTTCGGTGGCCATAGGCTCCACCTGAGGAACCTTCTTTGCAATTGACTTTGGAATGTCAAGATACTCCTGGATACAACGCTGTTGAGGATGGGACAGGAGTGTGAGGATGTGACGGAATAGAACACGTGCCAAACTCTGTCCACTCTCCAAGATAAACCCCTCATATTCACTAACATGTTCAAGTGCCTCCACTAGTGTATCATAAACCTCCTGGGGGCAATTATCAGGACCAGGCTTATCATGAAGGTACATCACATCCAATGTGAACACCTTCTGGTTCACCGGCCACTGATACTGTGGTCGCTCTGATGATCTGCAGTACAACAGAATCTACAATGGAGTGGCACGTAGAAGATTGCATGTTAGGATTCACAATCATAAATACGATTGCGTGATTGTGTGATTGTGTGATGTTAATCGTAGCCATGAAAAACACTTACAACTCTAAAGATGCGACCCTGCACACGGGATTTCTTGGCTTCATGAGCGGCCAATCCGAACAAAACGGTGAGATCGGGTGGGCCGGCGGAAGAAGAAGCTGAAATGACACGCATTGCAGCGATTGTTGAGTCGATGTCAGAGGTGAAGTCTTTCCGCACCTGTAATCAGAATTAAAATTAAAAACCCTAAAAAGCAAATGATTGATTAAATTGAAGGGGAAAAATAGGTTATGGTGGAAAGAAACCCAGGAGATGGTGTTGGAGAGAGTTGCGAAGGCGAAACGGTGTTGGGGGTTGATGGTGAGCTTGGCATTGACGAAGAGAATGATGGCTTGCTTGACGGAGTCCAATCGGGTGAGGGGTCTGCCGTTGGGTCCGGTGGCCCCTTTCATCTCGACGAGGCACTGAGGACCTACGTCCAGGCAAATCAGAATATCTTCGTTCGCAACTCGCGAGGGTTTCAGACTGTATCTGTTGCTGCTTCCCTCACCCCTTCCACGGCCATCTCCTTCAATTCCCTCCATCTCTCGTTCTCTCTATCTCTCTCTGATTCCTGATCTTCTTCTATTCCTGATTTCTTCTCACCCCTCCCATTATCCCTCTTATATAATCCCAATTTCAAATTTTCATCTCATTTTCAACTGCTTCTTCTATTCCTAATTTTTTTACGTTTACTGCTTATAACTCATAAATAATACATATTTAATTTAAAATACTTTTATCCTAAACTATAATCATTAACATTATATTTAAAATTGAAAAAATACATTATTTCATCCAAAAAACAAATTATAAACCATTTACTGTATTTTACGTAGTAATTATTATTATTATTTTTAAAAAATAAAGAAACTATGAGTTCGTTACGGCTTTGTTTACTGATATGATTTAATTCAGACAAGATGAGTATTTGTGTATGGTTCCTGTTTCCGTAATAAACTTCTGGTATCAACGAGGTTATATTAAGTCGATCGCTGAGCAGAAGAGGTAGATTATTATTTTATTGACTGCTTTCAACATGACTTCTTCCATAAAATGAAGACCATGAGATGTATCTAGTTCTTTCTATCTATATATTAGGCAGGCAGTGATATTTTTCAGTGCCCATGGTATACCTGTCAATTACATTGAGGATGCTGGGGATCCTTATCGAAATCGAATGAGTTGAAATAAAGAGGAATTAGTTATAAGCACACTCTCGCTTGTGAGGTTTGTTTTGAGTTTGAACCCTTTGAACTTAGAGAGATTTCATATGTAAATGTTGGCTTGTATTCTTGTTGATTTAAATTGTAAACGGCTAGTAGTATGTTACTCGTCACAGTACCTGAGAGTAAAAGTACTCCCGTCTCCTTTTGCTTCAGTATCTCTCATTCCAACTCTACAGCAATGAAGAAGCAAATTTTCTCATATGGGAACTCACCCTCTTAAAGAAATATTCAAAGAATAATTTACCAGGGATCATTTCAAGAGCAATGAATTATTAAACCCCGAAAAAGTTGTATCTTTGTGTATATTATTTGAAACTTCTTTACATTTTAACGTGGTGATAAACTGTTTAATCATCGAGCACACTTCGAGTGAAATAAATGAAAAAAAAAGGAACTAAAAACGAAGGAGAGAAAAAAAAGAAATGGAAATGAAAGACAGAGTGAAAGACTTTCACACATTCATTATGACACAGACATAGTCATTCTCAACAATTATTAGAAAACAATTTATGACCACAATAATTCAAAAAGAAAAACACTTGCACAATTAAACAGTTCAAAAGTTGTAAATAACTCGTCCAAAAAAATATTTAATACCGTAAATTCTACGAAGAAGTCAGTTGAACTCACTAAGAACTAAATGAAAATCAACACATGGTTTGGCAACTTAAATTAAGCTCCCCATTTCTTCAAATGCTGCCATCACCATGAGATCCAATTTAACCATACAAAAATATTCAACATGTAGGAAATTTCAGTACACGAACCCTTACATCTAAACATTGCAATGCTACATAGGTGAGTAGAATAAACAACTACAAAACACAACTAAAAAGAAGTCCATGAAAAAGAGGGAGGGGGGAAAAATATTAAGTCTGGGGCGAAGTTTTGGCAGCGGTTGTTTGGGGAGGCTGAGTATTCCCACTGCCATTACCATCGGCAGTATAGGTCGGAGCCTGAGTATAACCAGCACCATAAGAACTGTTACTGTATGGAGGCGGCGCCTGACCATAAGCAGGCTGGCCTCCCTGAGGTGCACCATATGAACCATAACCTGGTTGCCCTGCAACATAGCCCGATGGAGGTGCTCTCTGGGCACCAGTTTCTGCTTGGGGTTGAGTATAACCGGAAGGTGGAGGCTGAGCAGGATATGCTGACTGACCATAGCCTCCTACCGCACTGGGTGACTGCGACTGTCCGTAAACAGGAGGATTGCCACTTGGTTTCTGAGATTGAGGGGCTCCATAACCAGGTCCATAACCTGGCTGTGGTTGACTTCCATAAGCAGCTTGGGATGTTGGGGGAACCCCATAACCTGACTGAGGAGTTCCCTGAGGTGGGTAGTTGGCAGTGTTTGAGCTGGGCTGTTGGCTGGTAGGATAAGCTTGTTGTGCAATGGTGGTCGGTTGGGTAGATGGAGCTTGGCCTGAATCTCCCTGCGACGCATAGCTTGCAGTGTGGCCCTCTTGTGCTTGGTTATTCCCACTACCATAGCCAGTAGCGGAGCCATAGCCTTGTTGCTGATCATATGTTGGTGGTTGTCCATACCCCGAATGAGATTGTGCATTATATGCATTATAGCTGTCCTGAGCATAACCCTGTCCCGGTTGGCTATAAGCAGATGAAGGTGGTTGACTATAATTGTATGCAGAGCCATCAGCTGGAGGTGCAGGACCTCCAGGATTTTGTGGTTGCTGTGGTTGTTGACTATAGTAATCATAGCCGCCAGCATGAGTAGACTGTTGATGAGGTGGTGCAGAAGACTGGTCCCAATTGGTGGAATATCCACCTGGTTGTTGGGGAGGATAGCCTGAATATGGTGGCTGAGGCATGTTATATTGAGGTGATGGACCAGAATATGCTCCAGGTTGCACATAGCCATAACCAGGTTGCTGCATTGGTGCAGGGGGACCCCAGTTAGAGGGTGGTCGAGATTGGTAGCCTTGCTGAGGATACCCACCAGACATTGAAGGATTTCTAAGTCGATTCTGTGCAGACAAATAGAAAACAAAAATAAAGGGAGTGAACTCAACCAAGTTTCTACATCAGACAAGTACAGAAAGCAACATATGCACACGTACACAGGTTAAACTTACAAATGCAGAAATCAACATATAATGAATACGATATAAAGGGTATGTTATCTAGCATTAACAGGTTGCATACATGATCAGAAAGGGATATGAATACCTACATACCGTACTGGTTCGTGATAAAACTGAGTTACTCCAGCAGAAGCACACCCTTTCCCTATTCGAATTGGATGGGTACAAGAGAAAGCACAGACCATAGAAGCAAACAAGCATTCAATATTTATTGCCTTGAAAAGGCAATCCGTCATATAGTATCTCAAAATATGCAAGATCTTACTCCAATTGTTACGCTATTCAATATACAATATAATACTAGTATTCATATTAATTGAACAAGTCTGACTGGACTACAGATATTTAACAATGTATTAAGATGACGGCTCAACTCTAAATAGAAATATACAGACTGTCGAGACAATTTTTTTGTGCTCCCATGTACATCCTCTCAACCTCTGTACAACCCAATCTAATAATTCAACCTCAGGATCACGAATTCAAAGTTCAAATTAAATGTTATTTAAGTGAACAACTAATAAGAAAAAGAAAAATAATGGAATGATGAAGCAGAATAGAAGTAGCACAAAATGTACAACAGACAAAGACAGAAATCTTGTAGATAACTGGTTAGTTAAGAAAACTACTATTTAAAACTGGACAAAAATATAGAATAGAGAAAATAATTAAAGTGCAGCACAATGGGCACGTCTCAGATTACCTATGCCAAATGTAAGTCCAGTATAACATACGAGGATAAAATACTATTCCAAGTACATAAAGGTTCTTTTGAGAAATGAACTGAAAACCACTTGGTAGTTGAAAACTATTTCAATACAATTCAATATTCAATCTAATAATGACACCATAGTCAAAAAATATAGTAGGAGACTTACTGCCCTTGATAATAAATATCAAAACTGAGATTTAGAACCATACCAGGGCATGTTGAGGGAACACCAACAAATGGATTCATGTTGGTGTCACCAATGGTCCAATAGACACTAACCCTACAACAGTCCCAATAACAACATCAGTCATAGGATACACAATTAATAAGCATATTCCAACGTCGAGAGACTATAATCTCAGTGAGTATCCATCTGGACCAAAATATTTCATAATAACAGTAGCCTTCGAAGCCCCAGTAATTTAAACCAATAAAAACGAAAGAGGAAACTCGCCAAAGCACTGGGCCAGGTGCAAAACTACACCACAGTTAAAATACGGTCTTTGTAAAAGTATGGTATCTTAGTCAAGAAAACTGAGTCTAATTCTCAAATATTGCTACCAAAGTCATTGGTTTGTGGATGGATAAAAGAGATAATGGATAAGACGTATTAGCTAATTATACAGAGCACAATACTCATGCACAAACATAAGTACGCACCTTACAAGTCATAATTAGAAAGACCCTGAAAGTTAATGACCATCACCTAATCCGAGACTAAACATAAAGAAAGGCACATATTGCTAGTATGTCAAGACTTTTAATCAAACAAGATACTATACAGTTGTTCACACCACATAACAGCTAATAAATGACGGCAATAGCAGTGAACGTCTCACTAAACATATTTCCAAAAGGCGAGCTGACGAGACTACACTGAAGAGAGTTGGATATTACAAGCAAGAACATCATAACAGCCACTAGTGACTTAGTTTCTTTTCTACCTTAGTGAATTACTTTGTAAAAGTCTTAAAACACTTGCACAATATGAAATTATGTACTAATTTTCTTTTGAGAACAATACAATGGGCAACAGAGGTCGTATCAATATTTAAGTATCATATAATAGAAACCACTTGCCAAAGGCACGTTAGGCTCTGAAGAAATCACTACTTCCATAAACAGACACTATCAGCTAAGCTGCTTTGGGAGAGATATCAATGCATCCAGAATACGCATCAAGTTAACTAATAATTATCATACAGCTAAGCTTCTTCATTCCAGATCAAAACATCAATAATATACACTGTTAAGTAATAATGGTCATAGTGCTATGGTATATCATTAATAAGAACAATAAATTAATTAATATGAACAGAATAAAAATCATTTATGCAAACTAAAGTAAAAACCATCACATGATTTACCAAACGAACTTTTTACCTGTAAAGAAACAAATCGGAGAAAGTACAGAAAACATGTATCAAGCAACAAGGATCAATCAGATGTAATTTTATATTTCAATATCATAAAAAAATAAAAAGATCCAACAGGCAATGACAAGCACACAGTATTCACACAACAATCACATAAAGCTTGCACATAAATTAACC